GCCATGTGGGTACTGGGATTTGAACCCAGGTCTATGTGTATGAGTGCATTGCCTGCATGTATGTGAATGCACCCAGGTCATGCAACACCATGGAGGTCAGAAGAGGGCTTCGGATTCCCCTGGAACTGGAGTTAAGGACAGTTTATAGTTGCCATGTGGGTGCTGGGAATCGAACCCGGGTCCTCTGCAAGAGCAGTCAGTGCTCTTAACTACTGAGCCATCTCTCCAGCCTCGACAACTTTTATTAAGTAGATTCTCTCTTCTATCATGACCTGAGGTCTGGAGATTGAACTCGGGTCACTAGGCTTGTGAGGCAAGAGCCTTTCCCTGCTAAACCATCTCACTGGCCCCTACCATCTTACTGTCAAGACAGGGTCTCTAAGTGAACCTGGAACTTGTTGATTCAGCTAGACTGACTGACCAACAAGCTCTAGGGATCATCCTGTCTCCCCCACTCCAACCCCCCAGCTCTGAGGTTGCAGGTGCATGCTGCCATGTCTGGTGCTGAGGATCTACACACAGGCCTTCATGATTGCCTGGAAAGCACTTTACTGGCTGAGCCATCTCCCCAGCTCTGAGACCCTTTTGGATCTAAAGACGTGTTACTCTGCCCATTCTTTCAGAATTGGAAGAGCACAGTGTTTATTATGCCAGCAACTCCCAAGGGCCAGCAGCCTTCCAAATCAGTCCTACAATCCATGCCACCCAAATTGGTTTGAATCACAGATCTGCAAATATTTCTATCTTTAGAGATGCGATGTTTCACCACTGCAGAAAGCCTATTATTTTATACATATGGTAACATTTGCTGAAAAATGTATTTTACTTAGAGGAAATCAAATAAGCAAATAGTAGGGAAGATATGTAAATCAGGAGAACGTGAAAATGGTGCAGAATAAAAAGGACGTTTATATTGGAAGTATGCAATTTGGCTTGTGCTGACAGAGTCTTTATGAACTGCTAAGACTTATTTATTTGATACCCACGCTGGATGATCTAAGACTTCTCAAAGGTAGTTTACAAAATGAAAACAGCATGGAGGATTATATGAATTCACTGACTGTGTTCTTCAACATCATCAAGATAATTAAAAAAAAAAAATCCCTGACCTGAGGGGGCCAGTGGAGCTGGGCTTCTGATAGAGCAGTGTACTTAGTCCGGGGGGAAGCTGAGACACATGTACTCTGAAGGCAAGTGAAGAATCAGGAGGCAGACAACAGGATGAAACATACACTTACTGATCTATTTGTGCATACCTTTAGCCAGCAACCAGCTAGTATGCACTTATTGAGCATCTGTTGTATGCCAGATACCTAGAATGTAAACAGGCACTGCTGAGGTGCTGAGGGGCCTCTGGGAGGAGAGGGCTTGAGACAGTAGGCTTGTCTTTCCCTGTGTGATTGACACTATGAGGGAGTATGGGCCAGGTGCTAGGGACAGTTAGGAGGCACCTGTGACTGAGCAGCAGGAGGCCATCCTGGGCCTAAAGCTAAAGGGTGTATATGCAGAAGCTCTCAGGTGACACCAATAGAAGACAAAAGCCACATCGTGGAGACAGTGGTGGTTGAGGCATGCTGGACAGGGGTCAAGGGTAGGGCAGACCAGAGAGAGCCCAGGGACAACGGTTCTAATGCTGATGACAGGGGTGACCCTGGCTGCCCAAAGCCAAATCTGGTCCCAAGGTCTACTCTGGGACCCAGCTGCTTCATGGCTAGCTAGGGTGACCATTGTTCCCCATATGTGACCAATGTATAAAGAGGACAAAGGGCTGGCCATATGGCTCAGTGGATGAAGGTACTTGCCACAAAGCCTGACGACCTGAGTCTGATCCCCAGGACCCACACAATGGAAAGAAAGAAATGACTTCCCACAAGTTGTGCTCTGACTTCCACATGCATATCTTGGCACACATACACCCACACATATATGCACAAATAAATAAAGTAATAAAGAGAACAGGGGTCATCCTGGACAGGGGCAGATGGAAAGCAGGATGGGATTGTTTCAGGCCTTAAACATGCAGTAGAACTTTCTGGACTGGCTGTTATGCACCAGTAGCTTTGTGTAGTGTGTACACGTGTGTGCTTAAGGAGGTCAGAACTCCGCATGGGGTTTTGTTTTCCTTATTCATTCTCCACCTTATTTTTTGAAATAGGGTCTCTCCCTGAACCTGGGCCTCACCAATTCAGCTAGACTACCTGGCCAGTGAGCCCCAGAGATCCTCCCTGCCTCCACCTCCTCGGTTTTAGGATTACAAAAATACCTTCCTTCCTTCCTTCCTCCCTCCCTCCTCCCTTCCTCCTTCCTCCCTCCCTTTGTCCCTCTCTCCCTCCCTTTCTCCTTCCCTCCCTCCCTCCCTTCCTTCTTCCTCCCTTCCTCCTTCCTCCCTCCCTCCCTTCCTTCCTCCTTTCCTTTCCTTTCCTTTCTTTTTTTTTGTCTTTTTGAAACAGGGATTCCCTGTAGCCATAGTTGGTTTAGTATTTACTATGTAGACCAGACTGGCCTCAGTCTCACAGAGATCTGTCCACCTCTGCCTCCACAGGGCTCGGATCAAAGGTATGTGCCCCTCAGAGATGCCTGTTTTTAATATGTGGGTGCTGTGGATCCTAACTCAGGTTATTATGCTTGCATGATAAATGTTTTATCCACTGAGCCATCTCCCCAGCCCCTTTTATATTTTTATTTATGTGCATGTGTCTGTGTGTGTATGTGTGCCACATGTGTGCAGGTGCCTGCAGAGGCCAGAAGAGGGCATCAGATCCCCCGGAGTTAGAATTATAGGCGATTGTGGGTTACCTTCACCCACTGAGCTACCTGGCTCCCTTTGTCCTCTTTATATACTGGTCACCCTAGCTAGCCATGAGCACATCAGGTGAGCACCTAGCATGTGCTAGGAACTGAATGTGGGTCCCTCTGTAAGAGCAGTATGTACTCTTAACCACCAAGCTGTCACTCCAGCCCTTCATTAACCGTTTAATCCCCCCCACCCACCCAATTCTGAGGAAATCTTGGTTCTCATTCTTGAGTGCATGGGACACAAGGAGAGAGCCTTCCTGTGACTCCCTGTGAGTGCTGTCTTCATTCTTAATCCCTTCAGCAGGTGCCTGGGGACTCAGAGACAAATGAGACATGTTGGATGCAAAGTGTTCTGGTGCTATTTTTAGGAGATGACTTCCATGTACAAAATCCTTCTTGGATCAAGGTGGGCAGAACCCACAAGAAAAGCCCCTCAAAATTGCCTTCTGATGGCCCAGCGTGCATGGTACTGGCAGGGATGGTAGGCAGGTGGGCACCCCTGCTGCCTGGCAACTGCTGTTTCGATTCTTTGCTGGCTGTATTTTTGTGCTCCTGTGCTCAGGGACGATTTTAAAAAGCAAGTAAGTGCATGTTGGAAATGTGACCGTTGTCAGCAGGCCTTTCAGCTGCCTGCTCCAGAGCAGAGAGGAAGCTGAGGAAAGAGAAGGCACAGAGGAGAGCAATGGCTCCCACCTGAGCCCCGGGACCTCCTGGGGGGTCTAGACTGGAAGCAGTGGGCAGCTGCTTGCTATTTTCAGGGCTGTAAAAAGACTTAATGGAAACTCTTTCCCCATGGAGCAGCAGCTGGGACTGACTTAAGCTCGAAGTATTTAAGTAGGCTGCCAGGGCTGGAGTCCTGCTGGATGGGCTGACCCGGACATTTCTTCTACTCAGAAGTGCTGATGGGCAGTCCCACAGAACTCATTCATTCTTTCTTTCTTTCTTTCTTTCTTTCTTTCTTTCTTTCTTTCTTTCTTTCTTTCTTTCCTTCCTTCCTTCCTTTCTTTCTTTCTTTCTTTCTTTCTTTCCTTTCTTTCCTTTCTTTCTTTCTTTCTTTCTTTCTTTCTTTCTTTCTTTCTTTCTTTCTTTCTTTCTTTCTTTCTTTCTTTCTTTCTTTCTTTCTTTCTTTCTTTCTTTCTTTCTTTCTTTCTTTCTTTCTTTCTTTCTTCCTTCCTTTCCTTTCTTTCTTTCTTTCTTTCTTTCTTTCTTTCTTTCTTTCTTTCTTTCTTTCTTTCTTATTTATTTATTTAGGTCTTTTTGAGACCGGGTCTCCCTGTAACCCCAGCTGTCCTGGAACTCACTATGTAGACCAGGCCGGCCTGGTCACAGAGATCCGCCTGCTTTTGCGTTCCAAGTGCAACTCATTGTTTCTTAAGGGCAGTGCAGTAAGCATCCTGTTAGGATAGGGTATTTATATAGGAAATGTAAAGGATCCATGGGACAGTGATCTATGATCAAACCATCAGCACTAACAAAATGTTTCACTTTGAAGTCACAGAAAAGGAGGAGGAGGGAGAGGAGGAGGGGAGGATGATTAGGAAGAGGAGGGGGAAAGGAGGAGAAAGAAAAGGAGGAGAAGGAAGAGGATTAGGAAGAGGAGGAGGAGGAGGGAGAGGATGAGAGAGAGGAGGTAGAGAAAGAGGAGGAAAAAGAGGAGCAGGGGCCCTGGCTCAGTTGGTAAAGTGCTTGCTGTGTAAGAATAAGGACCTGAGTTTGTCCCCCAGGACCCAGGTAAAAAAGCTGCACATGGTGGCATGCACTTACAATCCCACCATTGGGGAGGCTGAGGCAGGTGGAGCTTTGGGGCTCTCTGGCTAGCCAGACTAGCCATATCAGCAAGTTCCACGTAAAAGTGAGAGCCCCTGTCTCAAAAAAAACAGAAAACAAAGATCAAAAAAACAAAAAAGCAAAATAAACTCCAAGGTGGACAGTTCCTGGGGAGCAGTATCCAAAGTTGACCTCCATACCCACACATGTGTAACATGCACACCCCACAGGAACAGGAGTACACATGAACATGTGTGCACACACAGGGGAATAAAAAAAAGAAAAGATGTTGCTATCATATGCAGCTGTATAGCAGGATGTGCTGGCCTCTTGTTAATGGCTAGGGATATGCTGAGGGGGTCACGCAGTAAGTGTGGCCATTTGGAAGGTGCTGACTGAGGAGCAGTGCAGTGAACAGATGGATGCTGGGTACTCACATCACTTCCAACCGTGCTGTTCTGGAGTCATTTCCTCCCTCAGATATAATTTCACAAGTGTAGTCCCCAATGTCCCCTGACCACGTCTGACTGATGAGAAGGGACCCATCCTTCTCCACCACGATTCTCGAGCTGCCAGATGGTGTGATAACCATGTTGTCCTTCTTCCAGACGTAGCTGTGGGCCAAGCAAAGAATGTTCAGTCACAAGCCTAAAGAACAGGAGGTCCCTGACTGTCAAGAGCAAGCAGCTGGTGGCTGGAAATAGGGTAAAAAAATCATTGAGCTACATCCTTGAAAAGAGTGAGTTTTATGGTATGTGGAAAAAAAGAAAGCAAAGCAAGCAGATATCTTGATCAATATACAAAAGCAGATGGATGCTGAAGCTACTAAAATGGGACAGTGAGGGCTGGGGAGATGGTTCAGTGGGTAAAGTATGCATAAGGATCTGAGTTTGATCCCCAGAACTCATGTAAAATAACTGGGGGCAGTGGCATGTGGTTGTAATCTCAGTGCTAGGGAAGCAAAGATGAGTGGATCCCTGGGGCCAGCCAGTTTAGCCTAATTGGTGAGCTCCCAGCTAAATGAGAGACCCTGTCTCAAGAAACAAGGTAGAGGGGCTTGGGAGATGGTTCAGCAGATAAAGCACTTGCTGTGCAAGTGTTAAGACTGGAGTTCAGATCTCCAGCACCCACATAAAAGCTGGGTGGGCGTGAAAGCCCACCTGTAACCCCAACACTCAAGAGGCAGAGATGAGATCCCAGTGGCAAGCTAGTTGCTAGACAAACTGAATCTACAAGCTGTGTTTAGCAAGAGACCCTGCCTCAGTAAATAAAATAGAGAACTATCAAAGACATGGACATCAACTTCAGGCCTTCACATGAATGTGCACCTGCACACCTAGCCACATATACACACTAGAAACATGCATACACACAGACTACACACACAGACATATGCAAAAACCCCACCAAAACAAGGTGGGTAGTACCTGAGGAATGACACCCTAAGTTAACGGATACTCTCTGGCCTCCAAAAATATGTGCACACATGTGCACCTGCACACCCCCACATACATACACATATACATACATACAGCAAAGAAACAAAAAGCCCGGAACAGGGCTGAACATCTGGCTGAGCTTGTATCTCAGAGACAGGGACTCTAGGATCGGCTGCATGTCTGTCACCAGCTAAACTGAATCCAGCTCTCCTGCCTCAGGAACACTTGCTTAAAACCCCAAGGGAAGAATCTCCAGCTTCCTGAAGCAAGTTCACCATGTGTCATAATGATCCTGCTAAAGTCCCACCATCCCGGCAAGTGGTCTCTAATGCAGCCCTTCTTCCTCATTTAATCTTTATGGCCATTTTAGCACATTTTTCTTTTCCAATATAGACTCCATTAAGAATCTGTCCATTCCTAACTGTCCCCAGGTAGGAGCACTAGATGAGCTTCTAGATGAGCTGAAAATGTGTGTGTGTGTGTGTGTGTGTGTGTGTCCACATACATGCAGTACAGAACAAATGCGAAGGTCTGAAGACAACTTAAGGGAGTTGGTTCTCTCCACCATATGGGTCTTGGGGACTTGGTCATCAGGCTTGGTGGCAAGCAATACCTGCTGAGCCCCATTTTAGTTATTCTTTGTCAGAATAATTTGGTCATATTTTCAAATGTACAGGGCTCCTTCCATCCTTCCTATCCACAGAGCACAAACATTTGTGAACAAGACATGAGAGATTGCCCTGCAACATAGGACACAACAGGGCAGATTCCACCAGAAGAGAATGAGTAGACAGTCCTGTCTGGAGCCCTGGACAAAGGGGGATTAGCTGAGTCCTTCTCAAGAGGTGGGGGGGGGGGGGTCTCCCACATGGCAAGCACTGCAAGGGAACCACCAAGATTCAAATTCTAAGCTCTCAGAGTACCAGGAATCCAGGCTCATTGTTCATTCTTGCAAATCATACCCTAACGCCTTTACAACAAATTTAGAGGGATTTCTAGGAATGCCCCCAGGTGTGGTGGTTTGAATGAAAATGTCCCCATAGTCCCCAAGTGTTTGGACATTTCGTCCCCAGATGGTGGCACTGTTTTGGGAGGTCTTAGAAGGTGTGGCTATGCTGGAGGAAGCACGTCACTGGGGTGGGCTTAGATCCTTGCCAGATCTCCAGTTTCTCTCTTGCTTTCCTGTGCCTGCTGGAAGATGTACAGCTTAGCTTCCACTTCTCCGGCCACTTCTGCAACCGTGCCTCCCTGCCATGATGGACTGTAATTCCACTGGAACCGTAAGCTCAAATAAACTCTCCCTTTTATAAGTTGTTTTGGTCAGTGTTTCTATCACAGCAACAGAAAAGTGACTAACACACCAGGATTACCCGTCTGATCTTTAGCTTGCTACTTCCTGTCTGTTCCTTTGGTTTTTGCATTGTTTGCTGTACTTGTAACTAAACCTACACTTTTTTCCAGCCTTGGAGACTCTAGAGAGCCAGGTAGGGATGTGGAAAAGGATGGTTTGCCAAACACCTGTCCAGAAGTGTGTGTGCTAATAGTCATGCCTTCTGTTCCTAGTGAACTCTGATTCGGATTCCATTGCTTTGGCTAAGTGCTGGCCTTTAGAGTAAAGGCCAGGAAGACAATACTATTTTTTTTTCTTTTTCCCTCCCCAACACAGGCTCTCCCACACATGGACACCTTGATTTACTGTCAAGGTTGAGTCTGAAAAATAATAATTAGGCTGCAGTTTGCTGCTCTTTGAGACAAAGCTCATTGCTGAGGGTCACCTGTCTGCAGTCAAGCTCTTTTTTTTTGGTCTTTTTTGTGTTTTTGTTTTTGAGACATGGTCTTACTATGTAGCCTTGTATGGCCTAGAACTTGCTATGTAGACCAGCAGGCTGGCCTTGAACTCACAGAGATCCAACTGCTGGGATGAAAATCATACACCTTTTTTTTTTTTTTTTTTTTTTTTTTTTTTTTTTTTTTTTTTTTTTATCAAGGCTGGCCTCTACCACTGGAGTCCTGGTATTACAGGCATGCATTTCCACACTTGGTTTATGTGGTGCTGGGGGTGGAACCCAAGGTTTCATCCATGCTAGGCGAGCACTCTACCAATTGAGCTCACCACCACCTGAGTATCACAATTAAAAAAATTTTTTGATTTATTTATTTTTATTTATGAGTGTTTTGCCTGCATGTATGTAACTGTACCATGTGTGTGCAATGCCTTCACGGGTGAGAAGAGAGTGTTGGATCCACTGGAACTAGAGCTAAAGACAGTTGCTAGTCACTCTGTGGGTCCTCTGCAAGAGCAGCCAGTGCTCTTAACTGCTGAGTCATCTCTCCAGTCCCCCAAATGTCAAAATTTTTATCTTCAACTTCTAATCTGAATTCAAACTGAGAGAGCATGTTCCATTTGGAGTTAGAGACTGTCCAGTCCACACTGCCGCCTCCTCTGCCAGTGTTTCTCTCTTACTTCCCTGGACACCCACATGCTTTCTTCTCCCCATTCCCTGCTACACAGCAGACCCATCCTTGCAGGAGAGAAAACCCCTCTAGAGCATTGCAGTGCTCCCAAGTCAACACTGCTGAAATCCTACTCCATCAGTCCCGATTTTTCTGTCTCATTAGGTATCAGCCCCTGACAAGTACATTTTATAGACAGTGTATTAACCTTGGCAGAGAAATCATGAAAAGCTGTATTGAAGCTGTGGAATGGAGCATAGCCCACTGTAAATAATACATAAGGCTGGAAAGGGAAGATGGGATTTGTATGATTAATGATGGAGCCTGCCACTGGGAGATGCGGTCATCAGGCATCCACTGCTAAAATCAAAGACCCTCAAATTCTCTCTTCTCATCTCAACTTTCCCTTCATTAACACGAGGAATCTTAACAAGTCCCAATATGTGAACAGCAAGAGCTACCGGAGGGAAATCCGTGGGTCGTGGGTGGCTCTGCAGTGCAGGGTGGCTGTGGTTCCCTTAATCACCACACGGTCCTCTGGAGGGTGAACGATGGAAGTTCGATCTGAAACGACACAAGTCACAGCTCAGAAGAAATCGCCAGTGTGAGGGTCTGTGCCCTCAGGGGTAATGAATTGGTCAGCTGACATCAAAGCCTCTCTTATCTTGGCAAAATGAGTGTAAATGGAAGCTCAGCCATGCTCACAGGGAAGGGACAAGCTTTTCTGTGTGGCAGCCAACTCACTTAATCCATCCTCTTCTAAGTCATCCCGGGTTTCCAAACTCCCTAGAAGAGAGGGCAGAGGCTATGTGCAAATGCTTACAGAGTCTTCTTGTACTGAAGGTGAAAATATAGATTATTGTGTGTGTATTTGTATGTGCATGTATGTGTGAAGGCCAGAGGTTAACCTCAGGGGCTATTCCCTGGCCATTTATCTTCTTTTCTGAGACATTTTCTCTTACTGGCCTGGAACTCACCAAGGAGTCTGGGCTTGCTGGCCAGCGAGCACCAGGGATCTATCTGCCTGCCTTCCCTGATCTATGATGTGCAGAGCTGGGGGCTCTAGAACCCAAGCTGTGGTCTTGGGCTTCTGATCTTCCTGCCCACATCTTGGGATCCTAGAATCAACTGGTGCCATTGCAATTGCTTGTGGCTTGTGGCGTGAGGCATCCCCACTCCTCCCCTAGACAGCCTGTACTATGCTGTCCCTGTGTCACACACACCTCTCAGGGGATGCCACTCTGGCAGTATGCACTGAGCTGGAACTTGGAAGGCCTGGGCTGAGCTCAAGGCCCAGCATGGCATCTTGCCAGCTGTGTATCATGAAAGGTTTCTGAGTCTTATGATCTCTGTGAAAGGGTGTGTTAGTGTTGTAAATAGGTGGACAGAGTGACGCTGAGAACTCTGTACTGCTCAACCCGGCACGGTTGTTTTAACTACTTCTTAGCAGATACTTGGAACTTTCTGGAGAGTGATATATACAGACTCCGACCTCAGTTTTTGCATAAGCTTGTGGATACAAGGCTAAGATTTTCCCCATGAGTCAGAGGTGGTTGACTCCAACCACCAATCAGAACAAAGCCTCTTTTTAAATATTTGCTAATATTATAGGGATTTAAATTCATTTCTTTAAAACTCTTGATGTTTTGGGAATACCTGATACATTTTTAAAGGGTCATTTAAAGCTAGAGAGATGGCTCCGCGATTAAAGGAAAGTATTGCTTTTGCAGAAGACCAGAATTCAATTCTTAGCGCCCATGTCAGGTGCTATAACTCCAGCTCCAAATAATCCAACACTCTCTTCTAGCCTTCATGAGCACTGCACCCACATGTGCATATACCCACACACAACACATACACATATATACACAATTAAAGTAAATCATTTTTTAAAAACCTCTGTAACAAAAAAGTCATTTACCAAAGTGGATAGCAATGGTGCAAGAGAAAATGCCAAACAAAAGTGAGGTGAAGCACGGGCATTTTTCTTTAAGAACTACATCTTTCTAGATCACTGAGGCAAGATATCAGTGACCCTTATGAAGCTTATTAGTAATAACTGGGTTTTGCTTTTTTGAATGATGAACTTTTAGTGATGTGCATTTGGGTATAGATGGGAGGGAAAAGTACTGCGGCACTTCAGGATGTGAAGGGGCAGCATGTTATATTCAGGTCCTGATAGAAAAAAACCCTTTCTGTATTTCAAGAACCAGTAACCTAAAATAAGGATGGCAAAGCTGGGGGGACAGGGATTTTCTACCTGTTTGTGTCTAACCAAGAAGCAGTCCTATTAATGTAGGAGTGTAGAAAAAATACCTGCATGTGCACAAGCTCCTTATCATGTGTGTGTTTATGTGCATGTGTGTATGTATGCATGTGGAGGCCAGTAGTCAACACTGAGTGTACATGAAGCTCACTGATTAGACTAGGCTGGCTGGCCAGTGAGCCCCAAGGATCCTCCTGTCTTTATTTTTCTAGCACCTGGATTATTGGTATGTACCTGTTCTTTACATGGGTGCTGGGGTTTGAACTCAGGTCATCATGTCTGCATGCCAAGGACTTTACTGACTGAGCTGTCTCCTCAGTTCCCAAAGTACTTTCTTTAGGATTTCAAATCCTGATTCAATTTTCTTATGAAGTTATTTAAAAATTACTTTTGTTATTCAAGTCAGTTGGGTATAATATCTCTACTGATTTTAGAAAGCCAATCTTTTCCCTCTCCTGAAACACCTCCATTGAATCTCTGGATGCATCTTCTAATTATTCTTTTAGAAGCTGAAAATTTAATCACTCAACGGATTTCTATAAATTACTTGTGAAAATAATCATTCTCTTTTAACTCGGTAAGAAAGTCCTAGGCATATTGACATCCTGTGGGCTCAGATGACGCAGTGATTGATTAAAGAGTGATTGACAGAAGGCTCTCAGAGACTTGGGTCCTTACTCCACACGGTGAGTGAGGCAGACGCGTTCAGGGTGGCCTCGGTGTTGGCTGCATAGCAGGTGTAGTTGCCAGCATCCTGGATGAAGACAGGGGCTATCCTCAGGCCCCCAGATTCCAGCAACATGAACCTGGGAATCCGGACAGAGCCGCTGGCCAGAATGTGGCTCCCTAAAGAGCAGAATCGAAAAGAAGCATGTTGGAGCCACAGAGCCATTTCAAGGACCGAAAGAGATGGGAGCAGTCCAGATAAGCAGAAAGCAGAGTAAGGTGAACATTCTGAGTTCCAAAGTAACCAAAGCTTTCCTTAGCATTACTTAGGGTCACAGGCACCAAGCACTCTAAGTGTCCAATATTGTGAGATTCGGTTAAATAAATTCTGATCTGTGTATGGGATTATCTTTGCGTTGACTGCCTTCTATGGTTCTTTATGTTTAAACACTTTTGAAAATGTTCGGGATCAGGAAAGGAAGAGAAAAGATGTAAAATAAAAGAGCCATCTTGTGCAGTTCTGTAGGTCCCATGTCCCTAAGAGCCTGACCAAGTGTCTGACTCATACCTCTGAGCATGAACAAGCTACTAGGCAGGTGTCTGGAATTGTGGACCAGATGTGACTGCCAGGATGGTCCCCACATAACCCCCAAGCAAACACACACTGTTCAGCAAGGGTGGCTCTGCCTGCCTGTCATTTATTTTTATCTGTGTGTGTGCTTATTGTGTGTGTATATTCATGTATATAAGTGCACATGAGTGTACATGTGTGCCAAGGTCTTAGTATGTAGTCCTGACAGGCCTGGAACTTGCTATGTAGATCAGACTACCCTTGAACTCAGAGATCAGCCTGCCTCTGCTTCCCAAGTGTTAGGATCAAAGGTGTATGTCACCACCCCCAGTCTCCACTCATTTTTTGAGATAGGGTCTCTTGCTGCACCTGGACCTTGCCAATTCAGCAAGACTGGCTGGCCTGCAAGTCCCAGGGATCGTTTTGTCTCTGCTTCCCCAGGGCTGGGATTACATATAACATGCTACCACAACAAGCTTTTTACTCAGTTGCTGGGCTGGAACTGAGGTCCTCGCGTTGTACCACAAATCCTTTACTGACTGAGCCTCCTCCACAGCCTCCAGCTTTTACAGAAGCCTGGGGTTACCTGTCTTATTCATCCTGTACCCTGGCATCTACCCCCTGGTAGTGGCATTCAGTAAATATGTACTTAATCCTCGCTTAGTGAATGAGTGAGAGGAACAAATGTAGCTAACGTTCTAGCATTTTCCACACCAGCCGTGCTGCTGCAGAGCCACCTATAAATATGTACTTAATCCTCGCTTAGTGAATGAGTGAGAGGAACGTTAGCTAACGTTCTAGCATTTTCCACACCAGCCGTGCTGCTGCAGAGCCACCTGCCTCTCTTCCAGGTGATGGCGGGTTTGGGAGCCCCAGACACTTCACATCTCAGGACAGCAGTCATCCCGTCAGTAACTGTGGTGTCCACTGGACGCTGGGTGAAGGTAGGAGCGACATCTGTAGGGAGGAGTTGACAGTGGGCAGTCAGCTAGGCCTCTGCAAACCTGCTCCAGAATCTGCACAGGTCGTATAGGACCAATCACAGAGAATGGAGCTGTGGTGAAAAACAAAAGTCTTTCCAGAGTGACTCTGACCCTGCACTATTGATCTCCCAGGAATTACCTGTCTTTGATTACAATCTAAAGAGAAACGGATGCTGTGTGCAAAGTGCAGGGGCCCAGGAAGCCCATTTATCCAGAGAAACCCAACCAATGGCCTCTGTCCTTTAGATGAAAGACTGTAGCTTATAGGATGACACTTCCATGATTTCTAGGACCACTCTAAACACCGAAATAACAGCTTTGTTGGACCTCTGTGAGGGGCATCCTCTCATTCCATGATGTAATTACTTCTTGCTCATGGGGACAGGCAGACAATGTGATGGCCTCACACACTCAGGACTAAGAGGATAGATGTGTGCTAACGGGCTCAGACAGGTTGTTTTTCTGGCAGCAAGCACACTGGATCCAGTTGGGGACCAGGAGTCCTTGCCAGCTCATCCCTAAGCTGAGAGTTTTACCCCACAGCAAGCGAGAACCCCGATGTCCCAGGTCTGGTTACTGTTACTGGTCTCAGAGCTTCTCCTCCCTCACTGGATGAGCTATTCCGGCCTGCACGTGACCTTCAAAGCTAGGATGACATCATCCCACACAGTACTGCCCCCCCACCCCGCCGCCACCCTTCAGCCCTTGGCCCTGCATATCCCCTGCCTGTCTCTTGTTTCAGTTCTTTGACAATAACTGGTCCATCCACCTGCATCCCTCACCTGAATGCATCCTGAGCTCAGTCTCTCCAAGGCACCTGCTGTTGCTACCCCCACTCAGTGATGGGTGCATCTCCAAGAGTCTGAACAACTGGCCCCTTCTTAGCCCCAGGTCTCAGTGTAAGTGTTGCCTCTGGGAGACCCTCCCTGCCTCTTGCTCTGTGGTTCACCTGTTCTCCATAGCACCCAGTCTCACTGAGATTCTATTCTGTTTTCTATACCACCCCACCCCATCCTAGTGTAGAGAGGCCTTGTCATCTCTCTCATAACTGTGCACCCAAAGTCTAACCAGGTGCTCACCAGCCATTGGATGATCAAATACTGATTTAAAAAATATTTTATTTATTATTTTTATCTGATGTGTATGAGCATATTGCCTGTATATATGTAAGTGCACCTGTGTAGTGCAGTGCCCGCAGAGGTCAGAAAAGGGTGTTGGACCCCCTGAAACTAGAGTTATGGATGATTGTTAGGTGTCATGTGGGTGCTGGGATTCCAACCAGGTCCTCTACAAAGGAGTCAGTGCTCTTAACCACTGGGTCATCTCTCCAGCCCCCAAATACTGATTTTTTTCCCTTACATTTTCCTTTCATTCAGGGCAGTCTGATTCGAAAAACAAATGTGTTTTTGGAAAATCCTGTACCTACAAGACAGATAATTCAGCATTATCATTGTGGTAACTGGCTTAATGGAAAACCTCACTGAAATTTCCAACTGGACCTTCCTAAGCACCTTGCAAAGTGGGCCCGTAGGTTCTATGCAAGCAGGTGTGGAAACAGGCTGGAAGAAGTTAGGGGAGACTCTCACCTGAGCCATTTTACCTTCCAGTAACTTGCCACCTAGGGTCCCAACCCAGCCATGATTTATTTTGTAAATAAAGTTCTTGGAAACTGACTTGGAAAAGTCCCCCACAGGCTCGTGTGTATGGACTCTTGGTACCCAGGTTGTGGGGCTGTTTTGGAGGTTGTGGGGCCTTGTTGGTCAAGGTAGTCACTGAGTTAGGGCTTTGAGGGCTGCAGTCTGGCCTTGCTCCCCACCTTGTCTCTGCTCTCTGAGCTGCCATGAGGTAAGCAAGCTCTACCTTCCCACAGCTGCTGCTCTGTGCAGAGCTGCCCCAGCTTCCAGGATGGATGGATATAGCCTCTACTACCATGAACCCAAATAAACCTCTCCTCTCTTAGCTTGCTGCTGTTAGATATTTGATCACAACAATAAAGGTGCAACTAACACAGGACCACATCCACTCTCATTCTCTCCTGAATGGTCTATGCCTGCTCCATGCTGTGCAACAGCCAAGTGGCTGGGACACAGATCATGCTCCTTAAAGCCTACACCATCTACCACCAGACCCCTTAAAGAAAAATCAATGAAAACAACCCCCAAAAAACTACCTGGTCAATCCCTGCCCAGAACACTAAATAATTCTAATTGATCCAAACTCAGTTACTGGCTTAAACAATATCATTTCTAATGCTTAGAGCAGTATTTGTTTCCTGTGCTTTGCAGTAGAGGACAAATCTCTCCCCTGGCAAGGGTTGAGGAAAGTGATCCCCAGTTTACCAAAACACAGGCACGCATTTTTAGAAACTTGGCCATCTCTTCACAAGCCAATGAGGGCCATTGGCCATACTTCCCAGGGGAGCTCACACCTGCAAAATCAGCATTTTGCCTCCGAAAGGGCAAACATGAAAGGTATAATTCCATAATCACTAAATTCTACTTCATTTTAGAAGAACAATGTTACAACTGTGGGAGATTAGAAAGAAAACCCGCAGATATAATGAAAACCTTTACTTTTATTTTATTTTTCAAAGACAGAGTGCCAAGGTATTTCTGTTAATGGGATAATAAAAGGAACTCACAAAAGAACTATAATTGTTCAATAAAACTAGAGAATGAATATTAAAAAATGGGTGGAAAAGATCAAAAGAAAAAGATTAGGCATGAGCTATACACTTAACAGCCCTTCCAAATCTGTCCAGGAGAGAGAGAGGAGAGAGAGAGAGAGAGAGAGAGAGAGAGAGAGAGAGAGAGAGAGAGAGAGAGAGAATGAATATGAATGTAGAGAGAAATATAAAGAAATATAATGTTTTCTACTTCTCCCAAAAGGAAGTTGTTGGGTTTTGTTTTTTTTTTTTTCTTCCAGCTCAGCCCTGTAGAACAAGGCTCACAGGTGTGACTGGGGCATGGCTCTTCCCAGAATGGTCCCTAGTCACATGACTGTATCCTCTCACCTCAGGGGCTGACAGGATGCTATGCCATATGGGCAGTGGGAAGCTCTGACCTGGGGTCTGGCCAGGCTGATGGGTAGTACTCACTGGTCACATCCAGGTAGGTGTGGGTCTGGGTCTCCCCTCCTTCATTACTGGCAAAGCACTGGAAGATTCCGGAGTCTTCTGGACACAACTTCTGGATGTGCAAGCCTCCACTGGGAAGTACTCTATACCTAGGATTCTGGAGCTTGCTGAGGGGGACAGCATCCTTGTACCACTGGAGGGTGGGAAGAGGAACCCCTGGGTAGGAATGGAGGTAAATGGGCATTTAAATCACTACATTTCAGGAGCTTTTCATGGGAAGACTGAGGTAAAACGGTTTCAGAGGATAACATGGAAATATTCTCCTACCGTTTTCTCATCCATTAGGGAAGCTTTCCTCATCTTATCTGAAGAAACCCACACTATGTAGCTGTCACAAGGAAGAAAGACCAAGCAAGAACCCTGAATGTGCAGGCCACAGATCCCTTCCCATTCTCCCCGAAAGGTACCTGGGTTTGTGTTCATTTAGAAAGAGAGATTTCAACTGTAGGGGGCCATGATATTTGCATGGGGTTGAAGGGCTTTGTTACTCTGATTCTGCCTCTGCACAAAAGGCTGGATCAGGGTCATCAGGAAGTTTCTAGATTAGGTTAAGTGAGGTGGGAAGACCCACCCTGAATGTGGGCAGTACCATTCCTGGACTGAATAAAAAGGAGAAAGTGAGCTAAGCACCAGCATTCATCTCTCTCTGCTTCCTGACTGTGGCTGCAATGTGAGCAGCTGCCCCACATTCCTGCTGCCAGGTCCACAATGGACTGTACCCTCAAAACTGTGAGCCACCACAAACCTTTTCTCCTTAGTTGCTTTTCTCCAGAATTTTGTTGACACAGGGCAAGAGGGCTCTATGCACAGTGCCTGTCCTCATTCCTCCAACCAATAACAAAACTGGGAACCATTTTTAACACCTCCCTAGCCATTGAGCTGTTGGCTATCACTGGCCTCAATGGAGGTCCATTGTACTGGAGGAGCAAATTGCTTAGATGACAAACCTATGAGATGCCTTTGGTTGAAGTAGGTAGCACTTGTGGACATGGAAAAAGTTGCTTTGCTCATAAAACACATGTGAATTCAGGGTGAGGGTGGGAGAGGCTGCCAGAGACCCTGTTCCTATACCCTGAGAACTGAGCAAGCTGAGAATACAACAGAGAGTTATACTAGAAGGGCCAGAGGGCCAGACAGGCTCAGCACCCAGTACCCTTCCTAGTCACTCCTTCCCCTTGGGTGGCATCACTGTAAGAAACGGGCTGGCACCCCCGAGGCCAGAGACTTCATGTTCTGTGCTTGACGGCCTGACTGGAAAGAGGAGGGCTGGACTTGTGGGGCACACACAGTGTACATCAAGGTTCATAGGGCTCAATACCTGAGGTGTACATGGAAGGGACTATCTGCAGCCTGAGCACTGCGTGGCGACTACTAAAGCCGTTCTTTTTCATGGCTGTAGTTAGTATACACAGCCTACTTGTGGGGCATCCCTGAGTAGGGAACACTGGGCCTTTTGTACTAGCAGTTTCTCTGCAGGGCTAGAGGAAGACTGCTTCCTGGGGACCAGCTCTGACCTTCCTGAAGTCCAAGAGGATCATGCCCTCCCAGGAAGGGTGGACTAGGTAGGCACGAGAGACTCCATACTGAACATAACAATAATATACAACATAACAAACTCCAGAAATACAGTGGGTATGGACATGTAAGGAAATACTTGGTTCTATAGCTCAAATGGCTATGTTCCTCAATTTCCCTAAATATAAAAGGAATTATTTTGAGACAGAATCTCACTATGAAGCCTTGGGTGGCCTGGAGCTCCCTATGTAGACCAGGCTAGCCTTGAACTCACAGGGTCCACCTGCCTCTGCCTCCTGAGTGCTGGGATTAAAGGTGTGTGCTACTATGCCTGGTGAAGTTTCTAATTTATTTTTATAGTCCTGGGGATCAAACCCTGGACCTAACTTAGGAAAAGCAATCACTCTACCAATTGAGCTACATCCCCAGTCCTTAAAATGACCTTTTGTTTGTTCCTTTTGAAATATCATCTATGTAGCCCAAGTTGGCCTTGAAACTGTTGATCTTCCTGCCTCTGCCTCCCAAGTGCTAGGATTACAGGCATGTGTCACTATGCTTGGCATTATAAAATGGATTGAAAAATTAAAAAGCACATCTTGTCATAATTTTGCAAGGCTTACCTACATCCCTGACTCAAGTTCTGTGTAGGTCGGTCTACAATGTCCATTTTAATAAATAAAGTTTAATGTCATGAATATTTCAAGATGAAGCATCCTTAGATTCTGTCTTTGCCTTAATTGTGTTTCTTGTCACCTTTCATTAAATCAGGAAATTAAAAAAAATCCATTTCGAGGTAAAAGTAGAACCAATTCATGTAAAATGCTCATAATGGTAATTACATGATGTAGCTCTCATAAAGAACCTGCACTTCCCATTCAGCCAGAGATTCATCGTGGAAGGTAAAAGAAAGCTGCAAACTATACAATGGCAGAGCACCATTGGAAGACCCGTTCAATATACATTTACAAGTCTGTGCTTAACAGTTTACCCTGCACAAATTATACATAAAGAAAGCATCCTCTTGACAAAGGGGGAGTTTTATCACCATCCATTACTGAAAAATAATTGTTAGTGCATGAAAGACTAGAGTGTTTCCATTGGGGGGCAATTCAGTGTTGTAAATGAAAATTGTATCCTCTGCAGTAGTGGTATATTCTGTTTACTCCTAAAATATAAATATTTTATAGCACAGCATTCACACAGCTGTCCTTTAGAAGGTGGTATGTATATGTGAGAAAGAGAGCCAGGCCACCACAGTGAGGGAAACATCCCCACTTGAGATTTGTGCTTTTCCTTCACCCTTCTTTGCACCTGCATTACCAGAGCCAGGGTCACAAACAGAAATACAGCATGTTTTGAGAATGAAGTGGCCAGGAGTGGGTACCAGAGTCACAGAGGATGCAGATCCTTGGAGGTATGAGCAACTCTTACACAGAACACTGGAAGGGACTTCTACCTAGAAGCAACTCTGCCTCACCAGTGGTTACTGAGAGCCACCTACCTGCCTTACATTTCAGAACTGAAGGGTGATGTGGACACAGATGCAGTCCAGGACACAGGGTCTGTTTTAAGGCCCAGACATCAGCTCTCATGGATATCCTGGCAGGAACATGTGTCCTGGTTTGAACGCTGGTTGCACTGTCAGGTGACTCCAATATTTAGTGAGCATCTCTTTCATGCCAGGCACTACAGGCTGATTTTCTAAGAGGTGTCTCGTTTAATATTTGAGGCTCTGAGCATATTCCTTAACGCTGAAGCAAGGTCTCAAATGTGTACATTTAGATAATATCTCTCTTACAAAACTGAAATACTCACAAAATGGGTAGTACAACAAATAAATTGCTGTGGTCCATTTTCAGTATGAGGGTGTTTAGGGCTCATCAGGAATTAGGGAGAGGGCAATGTTTAGACACCCAGAAGATTGAACCTCCCTGAAGAACTCAGCCAATGATGAATTCGGGGGACAGAGAAATGCAGTTAGGAATATAAAAACCATTGTTTAGTGCCAAATTGGCAAGCCAGCCAATTTTGCCTTTTCTTAAGACTGAAGTCTGACTATACTACATTAAGTGTCCAGTATCTTTAAAACTTTAAAATTTTTATTTTTATTTTATGTGTATGAGTGTTTTGCCCACATGTATGTAAATACACTTGTGTCATGCAATGCCCGTGAAGGTCAGAAGAGAACATTGGATCCCCTGGAACTGGAGTTACTGATAGTTGTTAGCAGCTGTATGAATGCTGGGAAATGAATCTGGGTCCTCTGTAAGAGCCAGCTTCAATCTGAGCTAGCTCTCCAGTTCTGTGTCCAGTACTTTTATTATGAAATGATGACCATTGTTTCTAATAGTAATAAAGTGTCCCTTCATCCCTTCAGCTTTAGTGGGTAAAGGGAAACACCCATATTTGTGATGCCAGGAATAAACAGACAGGAACAAGAGCCTTTTGATTTATACAGGTCTTGGTAATGAATTGCTTTCAAAAGCCTCTGTGGTATGTATATGTGTACATGGACGTGAGTAGCATCATGGAACTCCCTGTGCAACTTAACAGGGAAGTCATGAATAGGATGATGGGAACAACTGAGTCCAAGAAAGGAGGACACAATAACCTTTGTAACAGGAAAGTTGGCCCAAAGTGAGCAAGGTAAAAGGACAGGGAAGAGTCCTATTGACAAAAATTCACAACACGACTCAGGGTGTAGCTGTTAGTAGAGTGCTTGCCTAACATGCACAAGGCCCAGTCCTAGCCCCAGCACTGCATAAATTCAGTGTGGTGGTACACAACTGTAATCTCAACACTTGGGAGTTGGAGGCTAGAGGACCAGAAGTTCAAGGTTATACTTGGCTACATAGTGAGTTTGAGGCTAATCTAGGCTACATGAGATGTTGTTACACACAACAAGAGTCAAAACAACTTCCTTTACTCTGTGACAGATGGATGTGGTCCCAGTCCTCTCACCTGGTAGATGAGGATGGGTTTCCTCTGTGGTATGGTCTTGGAACCAGCTCTGGGAAACCCAAGCACTGAGGGGAGTCACAGGATATACTGAGTCCTCTCTCTCAGGGAGGCAGGGGAAAGCGCTTCCTTCTTTTTCTCTGGAGTAAATCTTACAGCTTTCCACCCTCTGGGTTGTTTTACAGACAAGGAGGCAAGAGCTTAGCACTACTGCCTTCTTTCTCTAAGATCATAGGCTGTTTGCAGAGTCCTAGTGTCCAGTCTGTTCCTGTGTCCCTGAAAGCACGTGAACCTTGCCCTGGATATTCACCATCATTCAGCACGGCACCCATATTATGGCACATCCATACTCACCCATGGCTTGACAAGGGATGTCCACAGTTTCTTCCACTTCACCTAAAATCCGACTGTCAGGTTCAGCAGTGAAATATGGTGGCTCTTTAAATAAGGAAAAAAAAAGAGCCACTAAGTCAAGAAGTTTTGTGTTTCAAATGTGAAGGGTCCCCCACAGGCTCATGTGTTTGAATACTTGGTCCCCAGCTATGGTGCTTTGTGGGAAGATTGCAGAACCTTGGAGAAGTGGAGCCTCACTGGAGGAAGTGAGTCACTAGGGGTGGGCCTTGAGACTTTATAGCCTGTCTCCACTTCCTGTTGATTCTATTCTTCCTGAGTGTGACTGCAATGTGACCAGCCAGTCTCCTGTTCCTTCCACCATGCCTTCTCCACCATGATAGATTATATCCCTCTGGAACTATGAGACAAAATAAATCAAACCCTTTCTGTCTTCTGTTGCATTTGTCAGTTTATTATTTCATTACAGCAACAAGAAAGTGACTGACATAAGAAGAATATTCTAGGGATGCACCAATGTAAGATAATGGGCATTTTGTGATGTGAGGGTGTGTGTGTATGTGTGTGTGTGTGCATGTGTGTGCATTTGTGTTTGTGAACATGTACATGTAGAAGCCACAGGTCAATGATGTGTGTCTTCTTCAATTGCTGTCCACCTTATCTTTGAGACAAGATGTCTCACTGAATCTAAAGCTCACCTATTTGGTTAGATTGGCTCAGCAGGAAGCTCCAGGGAGCCTCCTGTGACCACCCCCATCCCAAGCACTAGGATTAATGTGCACCACTGTGCCTAGCTTTTTACTTGAGTGCTAGGGACCCAAATTCAGATCCTCATGCTTGCATGGCAAGTACTTTACCAACTGAGCTATCTCCCCAGCCCCCAATATGAGCTCTTAAAAATCATTTCTAAAAACTTAATCATCAGTTCCCATCACACTCACAAGCTCAGAATTCAGGGAGCAGCAGGCAAAGGTAATTTATATTCTAAGATTTCAGAAGGCAAATTACTACTCTGGGCAATGGCTACTTTTCAGTTTATAGGCTTGAAATCATGGAATATCTTAATTCACGTTTTAGAAGGGGTATCCCAAGAACTTCATAAAGATTTATATTTACAGCATAGTATATTATAGGGTAGTTTGCTTCTGTCTCTAAACTAAATACCAACTCAGGAGGCAAATTGAATAAAGCCCTGTAGCAAGGGGCCAAACCTGTGTCAGGGAGCAAAGGAGCCTATTAACTTATTTTTTTAATCTTAGCAGTTCTTTTTCAAAATATAAATTTAATACTTGAATGGGATGCAAAATAATAGTGGAGAGACAAAGAGAAGAAGAGGGACAAAGGGAATAACAGGGAGGGTGGAGAAGGGGAGGGATGGAGGAATGGAAGGATGGAGAGAGGGAGAAAGGAAGGAATGGAGGGGGGGAGGGAGGGAGAGAGAGAGGAAGAGAGGAAGACTCATCCATCTACAGTAGCAAAGGAAACTCCCAGCCATTTTCATTCTGGCTTTCCCCTTGCACAGGCAGCAGGAAATACTGGCTGTGTTAGACAATGAATTTCCTTGGAGAGTAAATGGCAATATTTTTCTCAGTTTATTCAGGAGAATTCAGCAGAGGCATGGCCGAGTTCGGGAGCATTCAGGAGGCAGCAATTTCATTATCACGATGACAAAAGGCTCTTGTATTCACTTTCTGCGTGATAATTAATTTCTGGAGACTTCTTTTCACTGTAATTGTGTTAAATGTGGATAATACGGCTTAGCGTGCCTCCTATATTGACTAGAAAAACAGGGTGGGACCCAATGGAGGAAACAGAAATGAAAACTTAGCATTGCAAAGAGATGCTTAAGGAGAAAACACTGGAAGTTTCTGAATGACAGAAAGCATCACACCTACAATTACCTGGGCCTTTGGCACAGAAGGATCTTGTTCCAACCATCCAGCCGGCTGTGGTGGTGACTGAGGATTCAGTAGATAGAGGCAGAACCCTCCATTATGATTTTTGTACATATAGACCTAGCCTGGAGAAGTACTGGAAAGATTCAATGCCTTTCCTTTCCAAACTGGTCTTTGTACACACATATATCTCCCGTTCAGCCATGTCTCCCTAATCAATAAAACGACAGCTCTATTTATATTCTGACTTCACAGCCATGCAGCCTGTCAAGGACCTTGTGCATAGGTCATGGCCCATATTCATCAGTGGATGCTAAAGTCAATGGCTACCATCATGATTTGATTAAAGGCATGTGAGGGCAAAAGAAAAAAAATTAAGTTAAGCATCAACAATTGCTCATGATTAATTACAGTTTATACTTCCTCAAACATTCTGGTTTTAGATAACCACAGAGTCTCAGGAAATTGCAAGAAATAACATTGACAGGGCCTAGGTAGCCCTTCCTCAGTTTACCCTTATGGTGGAACTCCATCTTTGCAGAATAACAGTCATTACCATCCTTATCAGAGCAGTTGTGAGCACTTGCAAGAGACCCTCAGGATGAGGCCTGTTGATGTTCCCTGGTAGGAGGAGCTAGAGAAGGTCATTAGATTCTCATCTGAGATTCCAGCCCCCTCCCCACATCCCCCCTTTGCTGTAGGGAGTCCTGCCCGAGCTGTACATGGTCGTGGTTGTGGAAGGTACTAGAGTCTACAGAATGTAAACATTTAACTGTACTGGGAGACTACACCTGTGTAGCTGTGGGGAAGTCATCAGCCATGCTAGGATGCTTTCTAGTAATATGGCTGTTTGAGGGTCACCCATATTCCAGTAGGTGACCTCTCACCTATGTCTGCCAGTACTCTCAATAAGCTCATTGGTTCACTAAGTTAGACTTGGGTGGAATTGTTACTTTGGTCTGTTGTTGGTGCCCTACCTGGGGTGAGCAGATGTTCACATCTTCCCAGGGAAAGTTCATGCAACAACCCCCACCACCAACACCATTGACAATAACTTGTAAAACTACAGTCTAATGTCACCCAGAGGACATGAGACAATCAACAAATTCTATCCAGATCACCCCCATTTTGTGTGTGTGCATGCACAAGTGTTTAGTTACATACAGGGTTATCACATATGTGGGATCATGTGTCCATACAGAATAGGCCCTTTGTCCTGAAGACACTGGCTGTCCACCTTGACCCCCCTCTCCAGCCCAGGGCCAACCACCCGTCTGTTTTCTACTCTTAATAGCCTGTCATTTCAAGAATGTCATATAAACAGTCATGCTGAATATCACTTCTGGAAATGGCTGTCTTCATTCAGCAGAATTCCCCCCACCTGAGAACGTATATCAGTCCTGTGGATGTTCAACATCTCCAGGGTCACCATGTCTTCCTCATGTACTGTGTCTATTCTCAGCTTCCCCGGAGTGCCAGGGTGGGACATGGCTGGGGAGAGAGATGATGTGCCTATACAGTGTCCCTGGGGCTGTGGCCTGGTGGGCCTGGTGTACACATAACTGCCAGATGGTCACTCTCCTTCTCTACTTTTCATAGCATTTCTCAGCCTAGAGACACCAGGTATTGAGTAGCTCCCCAGGGAGGTGGCATGGCCCTTCAGGGCAGCCTGGCCCATCTCTCTCCTGCAAGCCTGCCAGGTGGCTAAGCTGGCAGAGCAGGTGTTGGAGCTGCCACAGTGGGCCCCATGTGCTCTGCAGGCTCTGTAACTTCTCGTTTTCACAGTGCTTCTTCCCTCCCACTCACAGGTCAGCATCTTTCACTGTGGACCCTTCACACCACCCCAACTCAATGGTGTCTCTGAAGGTTCCTCTCCCCACCCTCAGCTGCCTGTTCACACACAACTTACCAGAGGAGAGAAAGTGCGGCAAATACCAGGCCTGTAGACTGTGAGGATGGGGAGCTGAGCTGTGGGGACCCTTGGAGGAAAACTGTCCATGGCACAGACCTTCTTAACTACTTAGTAGTCCTAGAGCAATGGGGTGAGCACACATATGTCTTAGCCAATGGGAGACTTCTAGGTTGAGTGACCAGCTGGCACAGGACTGCACTGGATTGTTAAATATTGATCATAGCTACAGCCAATAAATCCAGGAATGAAACCGACACTTCTACATCTTTAGAAATAGGATGAAGACATCAGGAGAAGGGGCTTATGCCCTGATGAGATCACAGCTAAGACAAGGCCAGTACCAGTCTTGTACTATAAATGGGCACAAGTTGCCAGCTGTGGTCTCAGAGACAGAGATGGGGTCCTTCCCAGGTAGCCACAAACTGGGACCTTGAGCAAGGCTCTCACACCCCAGCATGGCAGGGTCATGTAGTGTGAGTTCTGGCCTCCAGAGTCAGCCTTGGTGGAGGTGGCCATTGTACACCCAGGTCATGCTGTGTGATCCCTGGGGCTTGATCGTAGCTTCAGTCTGAGTCACAGGCTTTTTCTGATTAGTGCATTTCCCATGCTGTCTTCCCTTCCTTCCACAGGCCCAGCTGCAGTCGCTGTCCACACTTGGGTGCTTTGTCCACTGCAGTGGACAGAATGGTCCCCAAAGATGTCTACACTCAGACCTTGGACACTGTGGGCATGATCTGAATGTGACATGATGGATTTTTACAGTTGGGGTTAAGGTTATCAATTTTAAAACAGAAAGAATGGGAGACCTGGGGTGACTGAGTGAGCCCAGCCTAATTTTGAGCCTTTAGAAATGAAGAACTTCAGGGCTGGACAGATGGCTCAGTGGTTGAGCGCACTGACTGCTCTTGAAGAGGACCCAGGTTCAATTCCCAGCACCCACATGGTGGCTAACAACCATCAGTAACTCCAGTTCCAGGGGATCCGAGCCCTCTTCTGACCTCCGTGGGCAGTGCACGACAAGGGCGCACTTACATAAGGCAGGTGGTACACTCATACACATGAAATTTCTCCACCTGGAAGTGGGAGAAGCGAAGGGGAGGGCAGAGATTTGAGGATGGAAGGGAGTGAAGGAAGAAGGGAGGGAGGGATGAGAGAGAGAGAGAGAGAGGAAGGGGGGAAGAATGAAGGAAAGGGGAGAGGAAAAAGGAAGGAAGGGAAGGAGAAGACAGAGGAAAAGAAAGATACAAAGAAAGAAAAAGAGAGCACAAGGAAGGAAGGAG